ATATATATATATATATATATATATATATATATATATATATATATATATATATATATATATACATGTACATATACATATATATATATATATATATATATATATATATATATATATATATATATATATATATATATATATATATATATATATATATATATATATATATATGTATGTATTCTCTACCATGATCTGTAAATATCTGCATATTAGAAGGCACTTAATGAAGACATCTGTTACTATAAACTTGTAATCCTATATGTATATTACAAATATATTATATAATAATTATATTATATATTATATAATATATAAATATTATAGTACATAAATATTACCAAAATATATTAATATATATATAAATATTATAAAAGATATATATGTAAGTATATATATAAAAAAAATATATATATATATATTACATAATAAAAAAATATATAGTACATAATAGTATAAGTACATAATATAAAAACATAATATAAAAACATATATATTAACATAAACATTACATAATTGGAAAAAAAATATATAGATATATATATAAAAATATTACAAATATATATAAATATATATATATAAATATTATATTATTTATATTGTGATATATATATACGTATCATATATATATATATATATATATATATATATATATATATATATATATATATATATATATATATATATATATATATATATATATATATATATATTTATATATATATATATATATATATATATTTATATATATATACATACATGTATATATATATATATATATATATATATATATATATATATATATATATATATATATATATATATATATATATATACTACATATATATATTTATGATGTCGTAAACCAGTTTTTATAAACAACAGTAATTTAAACAAACTTTTGTAAACTCTCTTTCTCATCTCCATTTTCCATTTTCCATTTTCCATTTTCCATTTTGCAAACTCATCTTGAAAACTATATTTTTGTAAACGAGAACATCTCTCTTCCTGATTTTCCCAATTTTCTGCATTAGTTTAAAGTAGCAGATGGTTCCTTAATAGATAATTTCTGATAGTTCATTCCAAATTGATTAATTAATTATCAGTCATTACTAATTAATTAATTGGAACTAGATGAATTTTTACAGAACTTTTACGAGATTGTAAACGATCGCGTCCCTGATTTTTTTAATGAATTTTTGTAAACGTGTCCCTGATTTTTTAAAAGAATTTTTGGAAAAGTGTCCCTGATTTTTTTAATGAATTTTTGGAAACGCGTGTCTGATTTTTTAAAAGAATTTTTGTAAATGCGTCCCTAATTTTTTAAATGAATTTTTGTAAACGTGTCCCTGATTTTTTAAATGAATTTTTGTAAACGGGTCCCTGATTTTTTAAATGAATTTTTGTAAACGCGTCTCTGATTTTTTTAATGAATTTTTGTAAACGCGTCCCTGATTTTTTAAAAGAATTTTTGTAAATGCGTCCCTGATTTTTTAAATGAATTTTTGTAAACACGTCTCTGATTTTTCCGCTTTTTGCAGCCTACAGGAATTGGATGAACAGCATGGGCGTCAATCCGCACGTCAACTGGCTCTACTCCGATCTCGCTGATGGAATTATTATCTTCCAACTGTACGACATCATCCGTCCCGGAATTGTGGACTGGAAGAGGGTGCACACGTAAGTTTATGTTTTTTTTTGTTTGTTTGTTTGTTTTTTTTGTGGATTTTTGCGAGCTTTGTGATTTTACTTTATTTTACTTTATTTATTTTTTATTTATTTATTTATTATTATTTTTTTTTGTGAATGTGTATATATTTTTTTCTCCTGTTTGTTTTTCTCTCTTTTTATCTCTCTCTTTCTTTCTTTCTCTCCCTCCCTCCCTCCCTCTCCCTCCCTCTCCCTCCCTCTCCCTCCCTCCCTCCTTCCCTTCCTTCCTTCCTTCTTTCCTCTCCCCCTCCCCCTTGCCCTCTCTTCCTCCCTCTCACTCCCACTCCCTCCCTTCCTCTTTCCCTCCCTCATTGATCAATCTCAATTAAATTTCAATCAAATTACATCAATTTCAATCCAAATTTCCATCAAAATTTCAATCAAAATTTCAATCAAAATTTTCAATCAAAATTTCAATCAAAATTTTCAATCAAAATTTCAATCAAAATTCCACCCGCAGGAAATTCAGCAAACTCAAGCGCTTCATGGAGAAGCTGGAGAACTGCAACTACGCCGTCGAGCTGGGCCGCACGCTCAAGTTCTCGCTGGTGGGCATCGCGGGGCAGGACCTGGCGGACGGCAACCCGACGCTGACTTTGGGTGAGTTTAGAGGGAGGGAGAGGGGGAGGGAGGGATAGGGGGAGGGAGAGGGAAATGAAGAAAGAGAGAGAGGAAGAGAGGGATAGGGAGATGGAGAGAGGGATAGGGAGAGGGAGAGAGAAAGGAAGAGAGGGAAGAGAGGGAGAGAAGAGAGCTGGGCCGCACGCTCAAGTTCTCGCTGGTGGGCATCGCGGGG